TCTGAAACTTAGTGCTCTTTAAATACCTCATGCATTGTCACCACCCAAATATTAATTACATGATCACTTCTTTTATTGCATATATTTCGAATGCATTCTTCATGAAGGCTCTTTAGCAAATAAATGGGAATATTTTGGAATTTGTTAGAAATTATTAGATCAGGAGTGACCGGGGTGACTGGAAATGAAAGAGGAGACCAACCTCAGGACAGATTGTTCTTTATTAAGAGCAATGAAGGATCATGTTTCTCTGTGGGATCGAAACCATATACTCTGAAGCATAGTTGGTCTGAGGTTTTATGGAACTCTAAAGGAAGAAAGACTTTTTTATTTCTTAAGGTTTGAGGGTTTGGGACAGTAAGTGCTTGTATTACAGTTTGGGGGTTTGGGGCAATGAGTGTTAGCATATGATTTCTCAGGTAGCAGTCACTGTGTTGGGGGTTGGAGTTTCACACCGTTTCCAGGCTTGGGTTTCTCAACGTAGTTTGAACTTTCCAAGCTAAGACATGTATCCTTCAGGGTTCAGTAAATTAAGTAATATAAAAATCACATATAACAATAAATTTATGTATTTATATCCTTATGGTTAGGTCTAGACAGGAATATATATCCACATGTTATCATACATATTTTTGGGGGTCTTTTTGTTTTTGGCTTTTTTTGGATAGAGTATATCCCTTTAACCTTAGGTGGTCTGACACTTGCTATGTAGACCAGGCTGGTTTGATTTCACAGAAATCTGCCTCCTTCTGCCTCCTGAGTACTGGGACTAAAGTTGTACACTACCATGCCCAGCAGCATATGTAATGTAAAAGGTTCTTATTTTATATGAATTGTAGGCATATGAATGGTGTATAAGCTGTGTGGGGAGCCGCCTGCCGTCCCTGCAGACGCCATTACAAGATGGCGCTCACATCCGGTTCATGCTGAGCAGTAAATAAGTCAGTACGCATGCCCGAAGTAATTTTCCACCTTCTAGTCTCTGCCTACCTCGTGGCGTGATATGGGCTGATGAGTTTGCGACCAATCAAGAGTTGCCACGTCTAAGACGGGCTTACTAACCTATATAAGGGCTGGGTTTCCGACATTCGGGGTCTTCGCCCTGTAAGCTTATGCTCTCCCTCTCAAGATGCATTAAAGCTTTTCTGCAGAAGGATCCTGAGTGTGCCGCGTCGTTCTTGCTGGTGAGACGATAGCGCGGGACAAAATAAAAATAATAAAATACATTTTTTAAAAGTTATAATTAAGCCGGGTGTGCTGGCACATGCCTGTAGTCCCAGCACTTGGGAGGCAGAGGCAGGCAGATCTCTGTGAGTTCAAGGCCAGCCTGGTCTACATAGTGAGTTCCAGGACAGCTGGGGTACAGGGAGACCCTGTTTCAAAAAGGACCCAATAAAAATAATAAAATACATTTTTTAAAAGTTATAATTAAGCCGGGTGTGCTGGCACATGCCTGTAGTCCCAGCACTTGGGAGGCAGAGGCAGGCAGATCTCTGTGAGTTCAAGGCCAGCCTGGTCTACATAGTGAGTTCCAGGACAGCTGGGGTACAGGGAGACCCTGTTTCAAAAAGGCCCCCAAAAAAAGGGTTATAATTGTGGTGCTGGAAAGATGACTCAGTGGTTAAAAGCACTGGCTGCTCTTGCAGAGGACCAGAGTTCACTTCCCAGCACCCACATCCCACATGGCAGCTAACAACCGATCATAACACCAGTTCCAGGGTGTTATGACTCTTCTGACCTCTTCAGGAATTGCACAACACAGTGCACTCACATGCATGCAGGCAATACACTCATACACATAAAATAAAAATAAAATAGCCGGGCATGGTGGCGCACACCTTTAATCCCAGCACTTGGGAGGCAGAGGCAGGTGGATCTCTGTGAGTTCAAGGCCAGCCTGGTCTACACAGTGAGTTCCAGGCCAGCTGGGGCTACAGGGAGCCCCTGTCTCAAAAAGACCAAAATAAATAATTTTTTTAAAAAATTATAATTGTGTGTGTATGTGTGATGTGTGTGGGTGTACATGCCATAGCACAGTTGGACATCAGAGGACAGCTTTGTGGTGTTAGTGCTCTCTTTCCACCTTAATGTGGTGTTCTGGTTTGTTTCTTCATTGCTGTGACAAAACACTCTGACCACTACCAACTTGGGGAGGAAAGGGTTTATTCAGCTTACATCTCCCAGGTCACAGTTCATCAGGGAGCCCAAAGTAGGAACTTAGGGCAGGAACCTGGAAGCAGGAGCTGGAGCACAGGCCATGGAGGAATGCTGCTTACTGGCTTGCTCCCCTGGCCCCTGCTCAGCCTGCTTTCTTACACAACACAGGCCTACTTGCCCAGGGGTGGCACCACCCCCAGTGGGCTGGGCCCTCCCACATCACTCATCAAGAAGATGCCCCTCAAACATGGCCACAGGCCAGTCCAATAGAGGCAATTCCCCAACTGAGGCTCCCTCAGCCCAGGTGTGTCAAGTTGACACTAAAGCTATCCAGCACATGTGGGTTCCAGAGACTGAGTTCAGATCACCAGGCATGAACAGCAAGCACCTTTACCTGTCTCCCTTGGCTGACCTAGAACTCTCTATGTAGACCAGGATGGCCTCATCTCACAGAAATCTGCAGGCCTCTGCCTCCCAAGTGCTGGGATCAAAAGTGTGTGCTACCACACCCAGCTGGCCCCAACTTCCTAAATCCTTTAGTTAATTTGTTTGAGAAAAGGTCTCCTTTAGTTAATTTGTTTGAGAAAAGGTCTCCCTGTGGCACTGGCTGGCCTGGAACTCACTATATAGAGATTCACTTGCTTCTGACTTCTGAGTGCTGGGACTAAAGGTGTTTGCCACCAAGCTAGGCCCAACTTTTTAAAATTTTGATTTATTCATTAATTGATGCTGGAGATTTAACCTGAGACCTCATGCATGCTTGTATTCTACATTGAACAACACCCATAATATGGAATTACCACATAAAGTGGCACTTTAGCCACTGCATGTACAGTTCAGTAGCACCAAACGTATTTGTATTGTTGTGCAATCATCACCACCCTCCATTTCCAGAATTTTCATCATCCCAAATAGAAACTCTACACTCAGTAAACATTGAATTGTATTTATTTATGTTTATGTGTGTTTTACCTGCATGAATGGGCATTTGTGCATGCAATACCCAGAAAGACCAGAAGAGGGCCTGGAACTGGAGTTATGGACAGCTGTTAGCCACCATGTGGATGCTGGGACCTAAACCCAGGTCTTCTGCAAGAGCAGCCAGTGGTCTTAAAGGCTGAGCCAGCTCTCCAGCCCTGAACTTAGTAAACATTAACTCCTCATTCCCACCCCACCCCAGCTCCAGACAACCACCTATCTACTTTTTGCCTTTATGAAATATTTGCAAAATTTTTTCTTTTATGTTCTTGACATTTCAAGAATACAGTCCACTTTGTCTTCTAGCATTCCTCAGTTTCCTTTAATCTGCAATTTTTTCGTGAAGTGTATCACTGGGCAGATGTTAGTTTGATTCATTATTGGTCCAGCCAGCTTTGCTTACTGGACTAAAGGGACACACACCAGGTTTTCTCACCATAAATTAAGAGTTTCTTTTTTGAAATGATGAAATAATATATGGAAAGACATTTTGGGGGATGTATGAAGGTGTGAAAGAGGGACAATCAGAATGCTTCTAATCATCAGCTTCTATCTGTGAAGTAAGGACAGTTGCATCTTAAACTGGAACTTTGGAAAGTTTAAGATGGCTCACGGTTAAAAGCACTAACTGCTCTTGCAGGGGATCTGGGTTGGATTCCCAGCACCCACATGGTGGCTAACAACTGGCTGTAACTCCAGTTCTAGGGGATACAACGCCCTCTTGTGACTTCTGTAGGCACTGTACGACACAGATGCACTTACATACATGCAGGCAATACACTCATAAAATAAAATAAAGAAGTGCACCAGTTTAAGTGTACGATGCTCTATTAGGCATAAAGGCAATAAGGTGCCAAGTCTAGCCAGGCGTGATGACTTTAAGAAGTCCTGGAAGGATGAAGCCGGACTTCCGCGAATTCCCGACCACATGGACCCTGTCTCAAAAATTATTTTAAAATCTTAAGTAAAATTTCAAATTAAGAGGAAAAAGAGCGCTAAGTCTAGGGACGAACTAAATTTTCCAGTTGAGCCACTCCCTGAGGGGCAGGGCAGGCCAGGAACCATAGGGCGCAGGCGCACAGCGGTGACCACAGAGTCGGTCCTCCTGAGGCAGAGCGGCCGGAAGTCCTCTTCTCAGAGCTGCTTGTGGTGGAAGCCAAGTGGAGGCCGCCCGAACCGGGCGAGCCCGGAGCTTGTTTGGGCTGTGTGGACAGCGGGTCAAGAGGCGCCCCGCCTTCGCGCCACGGACTATGGCGTCTCGGGCAGGTCCGCGAGCCGCCGGCACCGACGGCAGCGACTTTCAGCACCGCGAGCGCGTCGCCCTACACTACCAGATGAGGTACGAAGTGAGGCCGGAGCAGGAGGCCTTCCCCGGCCTGCAGGGGAGAGCAGCGCCGCCCTCCGAGACTCCTGCCCGCAGGGCTGGCTGTCCGCTGGCCCGGGAGGCCCCGTGGCTCCCCCCGGACCTTGCGGGTCCGGCTCGCGGGGCCACATGGACTGACGCTGCTCACCCTGTCACCTTGGAAACCGTATTCCTCTTTGCTCTTTTTGAGAGAGTCTCACTGTGTAGCCCTGGCTGGCCCAGAGCTGGCTGTGTAGACCTGTCTGGCCTTTTGTTTTGTTTTTAAGATCTCAGCATGTGGAGCCCAGACTGGCACAGTTGTCTAGGTTGGTCTCAACTTCCTGAGTCGTGGGATTTCAGGTGTGCACTTGCTGGAAACCTTATTTCTTTTCTTTTTTAGAAAATATTTTAATTTTAGCCGGGCTTGGTGGCACACGCCTTTAATCCCAGCATTTGGGAGGCAGAGGCAGGCGGATCTTTGTGAGTTCGAGGCCAGCCTGGTTCCAAGACAGCTGGTGCTACAGGGAGACCCTGTCACTAAAAAAGACCAAAAAAATTTTTTTTTAATCTTTTAAATTTTGGGTCTGGAGAGATGGTTCAGTGGTTAAGAGCACTGGCTGCTCGTCCAGAGTACCGGGGATTCCCAGCACCCTAATGGCTGACAACCTTGTGTAACTCCAGTTCTTGGAGTTCTGAAGCCCTCTTCTGGCCTCCCCAGGCATTGCACCACATGACACAGATGCACTTACATACATACATGCAGGGAATTCATTCATACACTAAAAATAATAAACTATTTTTGAAAACATTTTTTAAATTTATTTTTATATTTTATGAATGTATTGCCCAGGTGTATTGCAGTGCCCGCAGAGGTCCGAAGAAGGTGTCAGATCCCTGGAACTGGGGTTACCGACAGTTGTTAGCTGCCACATGGGTGCTGGGAATCGAACCTGGGTCCTCTGCAAGAGCAGTCAGTGCTCCTAAACTCAGCCATTTCTCCAACCCCATTATTTTTTCATACCAGTTTTTAAAAAATTATTTTTATTGCCTACATGTGTATAAGTGCACCAATGTGTGCAATGCCCACAGAGGCTAGAAGGGCATCAGGACCCCTGGAACTGGAATTATGGATGGTTGTGAGCTGATATTGGGAACCAAAGCCAGGTCCTCTGGAATAGCAGCCATCTTTCCATCTCCAAAACCTTATTACTAGTGGACCCTGAGTCCCTTCATCCTCAGAGGGAGAAAATCACTTACTTTTTAGGCTTTAAGAGTTAGAAAATAATTCATTTAAAGGACATAGCATAACTACCACATATCAGGGTATGGTGGCACACACCTTTAATTCCAGCACTCTGGAGGCAGAGGCAAACAGATTTCTGTAAGATTAAGGCCAAAGTGGTAGCCCTGTAGCCAACTGAGCCTACAGGAAGACCCTGTCTTTTTTTTTTTTTTTTGGTGTTTTTGAGACAGGGTCTCCCCAGCTGACCTGGAACTCACTATGTACACCAGGCTGGCCTGGAACTCACTGTGTACAACAGGCTGGCCTGGAACTCACTATGTACACCAGGCTGGCCTGGAACTCACTATGTACACCAGGCTGGCCTGGAACTCACTATGTACACCAGGCTGGCCTGGAACTCACAGAGATCCGCCTCTGCCACCCGAATGGGGAACTAAAGGCGTGGGCCACCATGCCCAGCCCAAGACCCTGTCTTAAAAACAACAAAAGATCTACCACATGGTAGCAGTGACATTTGCTATTCAGGGGGATATGTATGGTAAAAGGTGTCCCTGTCCAAGGTGAGTTTTATAAATATGTCCATTAAAAGGTATTTCTGCATTCTGTTATTGTTTTGTTAAATCCTTACTGAACTATATCCACCCTGCCTGTGTTAGACACTGAGGATTTAATTGTGAGCAAAAGCAGACCTGGTCTTTGTTTTCATGTTATATTTTCAATAAAAATTTAAAACATAAGCAAAAGTGGACCTTGCTTTCATGGAACTTGAATTTTTTTTTCCCTCCCTACTTTACCACATTTTTAAAAATTAATTTTTAATTCTCCAGCTGGTTCTTTGCATGTTTCCAGAGTTTTGAAGGAGAACAAACTCTTTGGACCCCTACTTAGGCCTCCCACGTGCTGATATCTTAGGTATGTGTCACTGCTGTTCTTTGACTTTTTTTTGGCCTTTTTGAGACAGGGTCTCCCTGTAGCCCCAGCTATCCTGGAACTCACTGTATAGACCAGGCTGGCCTTGAACTCACAGAGATCCACCTGCCTCTGCCTTCCAAGTGCTGGGATTAAAGGTGTGCGCCACCACGTCCAGCTCCTTTATTTTTTTTAATATTTTATTTATTTTTATTTTATGTGTATGAGTGTATTGTCTGCGTGTATGTGAGTGCACCAGTATTGTGCAGTGCCTCGGAGGTCAGAAGAGGGTGTCAGATTCCCCTGGAACTGGAGTTAAAGACGGTTCATAGCCACCATGTAGGTCCTGGGAATCAAACCCGGGTCCTGCAAGAGCAGTCAGTGCTCTTAACCGCTGAGCCATCTCTCCAGCCTCTGTTCTTTGGCTTTTAAATGCACTCATTCATAATCTTTGCTGTTCGTTCTGCTACTCCCCTTTCCATGTGTTCTTGCCATATTCAACCACCTGATTTCCTGAAATACAGTTACATCAATGCTTAAGCCTTGGTACTTGTGTGTTTTTGCCTCTACATAGAATGCCACCTCCACTCATCTCAGAACCTTGCTGAAATATCTCTCCTCTAGATAGGCATCTGACATTCCATCTCATGCAGAATTGACTCCTTCCTCCTGAGATCCCATATACTTGGAACATAGATTTACTAGAGCTTTACACTTTCTTTTCTCATTTCTTTTTTTTTTTTTTTGGTCTTTTTGAGACAGGGTCTCCCTGTAGCCCTAGCTGTCCTGGAACTCACTATGTAGGCCAGGCTGGCCTTGAACTCACAGAGATTCACCTGCCTCTGCCTCCCGAGTGGTGGGATTAAAGGTGTGCACCACCATGCCTGACTACACTTTATTTTCTAATTATGGTTTCCTCCTCTGTTCCTTGTGTCCAGCCTCTATCATTCAGATTTGTGTCCATGTATCCTGTACACTTGCCTGACATACAATTGATGATCAGAAAAATTTGAATGAAAGATCCTTCTCCCTCTGCTCTACCCCACAGTGTGACTCTCAAGTATGAAATCAAGAAGCTGATCTACGTGCATCTGGTCATATGGCTGCTGCTTGTTGCCAAGATGAGCGTGGGACACTTGAGGCTCTTGTCACATGATCAGGTGGCCATGCCTTATCAATGGGAATATCCATATCTACTGAGCATTGTGCCCTCTCTCTTGGGTCTTCTCTCCTTCCCCCGCAACAACATTAGCTACCTGGTGCTCTCCATGATTAGCATGGGGCTCTTTTCCATTGCTCCCCTCATTTATGGCAGCATGGAGATGTTCCCTGCTGCACAACAACTCTACCGCCATGGCAAGGCCTACCGCTTCCTATTTGGTTTTTCTGCTGTCTCCGTCATGTACCTGGTGTTGGTACTGGCAGTCCAAGTACATGCCTGGCAGTTGTACTACAGCAAGAAACTCTTAGACTCTTGGTTCATCAGCACACAGGAGAAGAAACGTAAATGAAGCCTGCCTGATGGACTGCTCTGAGGGCTGAAACCTGGGCCTCCCATTGAGCAGGGTGAAGGGTAGAGGAGCTGTTCCAAAATTCTTCCATTGACTGTGGCAGCTGTGATGTTGGCACCTAGCATAGACTAGTCTCAAATTTTGGTCTAGAGTTCTCTCTTGCCATCTGCTGAGGTGGCAAAGCTATATTTAATAAAATAGTATTCCTGACTAGCTAGAACTGGTGACCAATGGCTGTGAAACACTTCAGCTGGTTGAAGTTAAGACCCTTCTTTTTTTTTTTTTTTTTTTTTTAAGATTGAGCGTTATCCTTGCCTTGCCTTGATCATTCCCCCTACTTCCATGTATCACCCCAAAGAGATCTGGAATAAATCACATTTTCCTTCAAGCTGTAGGTCATGGGGCAGGAAACATTTGGGAAGCTGCCCTCCCACCTCTCTTACATGCTGTTCTCTCTACTGGAAACCATTTTACTTAAAAAGAATTTCAATAAAGTTAAGACTTCCCTGTATGCACTGTGCCTTGTGTTGCTTGAGTGTCCTTAGACATGAAAAGAATAGCTGCCTCCTGAAAGCATGGCAGTGGCAGAGAGACTGGGCATGGGGAACCTGTCATAGTTGCAACCCTGTGGCTGACTGGTAAGAACTGTGATGTCCAAGTATTTTGAGTATAGAGGCTATGTTAGCTTTCCATTAACAGTGTCAAATACCTGTGGGAAATTAAGAAGGGTTTTGGGGGGGGCTCACATTTTGGGGGATTTCCCTTTGGGGCATATGCAAGGAAGCTGTTTCATGGGGAGCCAGAAAAGAGGCGAGCTACCAATATCACCATCAATAAGCTAATTTCTTTCTCTTTGGCTGCACTTACAGGTTCTGCTACCTCCTGAAGCACCTCTGGCTTGGCAAGCACTACATGTGCCTTTGGCAAACCATAACAAGGAGTTTATAATCTAGGAGAAATGTGCAATGAACATAAAATCTGATTGTGTGGAGCAGATAAGTGTGAAGAGATTTGTAATTGAAATAAAGTTCTTGAGAGTCACACCTAGAAGTCTAACAGTAAATAGTTACAACATGAGAGGTAAATGCCCCTTTGCACTGGAGTTATCGCTAGATGATACTCAGATCTCTAACTAATCTCTTCCCTCTACAGAGTTGTAATTCTTTTGTTCTAGAAATGTGATGCTTGTATTGTCTGCAATAGTTCTAAATGCAGAACCTCATCTTCTAGATGTCCTCCTCATTATCATCTTAAACTCAGTTATGTCCCAAACTTTGCTTTCTACTTCATAGCCCTTACTGTTTGTATATCCTGTGTTGAAGTGAATATACCAAGAGCACAGCTCTGGATCATCATCCATTCCTCAAGCTTTAAGTCCTCATCATTGCTTTTTTTTTTGTCTTTTTGAGACAGGGTCTCCCTGTGTTCCCAGCTGACCTGAACTCACTATGTACACCAGGCTGGCCTTGAACTCACAATGATCCCCCTGCCTCTGCCTCCCAAGTGCTGGGATTAAAAGCATGCGCCACCACACCTGGCTGCTTTTTTTTTAATTGTTTTGATTTTATGTGTTTGAGTGGACCCTTTTTTGCCTGCATGTATGTAAGTGCACCTGTGCATGCAATGCCTGGCAGAGGTCAGAGGAGGGCGTTAGATCCCCCTGAAACCCAAGTTACGGACTATTGTTAGCTGCCGTGTGGGTACTGAGACCCAAACCCATGTCCTCTGCAAGAGCAACCAGCGCTCTTACTACTAAACCCTTACCACTGAGCCATCACCACTAAGACATCTCTCAGGCCCCATTGCTACTATTTTAAACAATGAATTGCCTTTATCTCTTAACAGGTTTCCAAAGGGTCCAGATCACTGGTATCTCATTGCTCAATACCCCCACTCACACTATCTGGTCAACTAAACCTGTTATGGAGTCCCTTAGAGATTTCATGTTTCCTTTGCTTAAAATCTTCTCAAAAGGCTGGGGATGTTCAGCGGTAAGGTGGTTTTTTAGCATGCCCAAAGGCCTAGGTTTGATCTCTAGTACCAATAGATGACAAAAATAAACATTTTCTATTCCTACATTCCCTTTTTCAGTTTTCATGCAGCTTATATGGCAATTCTGGAGTTTTCTGGTTCCTCTATTCAAACAATATTAATTTGAATTTGATTTTTTTTTTTTTTTTGAAAAATTGTTTTGCTGCCTTTTTTTTTTTTTTTTTTTTTTTTTTTGAGACAAGGTCTAACATTGCCCAGAGTGGTCTCAAACTCCATACAGCTAAGGATGACTTTGAACTTCTGTCCTTTCTGCCTCTGCTTCTTAATTGCTGGGATTACAGGAATGTGCCACCACTCCTGGCATGTATTACTTGTTTTACTAACAGATTTACTGAAGAATTGCATGTCTTCCATACCCCTTGCTCAGTACCCAGCACTTTAGTTGTCACTCTGAATTATCGAATGAAGTAACTTGCCCTTGTTATAGGACGGAGTTCGCCAAAAAAATCACCAACACCACTTTAAGAAAAGTAGCAAAGTAAATTTTATTTTTCGACCAGCCGGGCTGTCTATCTCGGGAGTAGACGCAGCCATGATGATTGTCGGGTCAAAGTTTTTATAGGATTACAGAAATATTCAAACAGGACATTTGTGAACCAATCAGGTTTGTACAACATAGCAGAACTTTGAATCTATTAATCAACAACCAATCATACAGATAAGTGCTACAGTCATATAACTTGGCAATCAACTTTGTAATTTTAAAGTTAGTCAACTTCCTAGCCATAACACGTATAGTAAGAAAGATGAAATCAGTAGTTACCAGGTGGTCATACAATAATATGATAACAAGGGTGGTCTTATGCTCTGTGTCAAGGTGACCCAAAATAGCAAGCGGATTACAGAAGCAAAAACAAGCAGTTAGCCAGGTGTAAAATGTCTGGAATTAGCATGTTCCATGGTTCATGGCTAGGACAGTTTCCCAAGACCCAAGGTTGCCCTCCTTTTCCTTTTGGTGTGGAGCAGAGTAGCTGCTAAAATGGCTTTGAACAAAATGGAGTAACTTAGGTAAGTTTGCTGACCCAGTTCAGCCCTATATAGACTAAAGCCTGTATTTCACAGAAAATAGAAAATAAAGTGAAAACAGAATTTGAAGAACAGGAAGAAGCATATAGAATTTGCGAATAATGTAGTTTGCCATGTGCTTGGCCATAATTACTAGTTCAAAGAATCCGTCTCCAAATATTAAGATTGAAGTGCAAATTGTTAGCAGAAAAGCTAAAAACTTTGGTCATTAGAATAATACATATAGTCTTAGATTTTCTTGAAGACCCATTATCAGTAAAACTCACCATAAAAAATGTTTGATTTATATTAGTTGTTGCTTGTTGGAATTCTTTTTTTGGGCTTTTCCTATCTATTTTTTCCTGCCTCGTGATTATACTGTTTGCAAATCAGGCCTTCCATTTTGGGTGCTGATTCAACAGAAAAAAAAACACTATTTGGATTAGAAGATTCATCTGGGTGTCATGACACATGTCTATAATCACAGCCCTTGGGAGGCTGAGGTGGGAGGAATGTTGTGCATTTGAGACCAGCATGGGCTACATAATGAAACCTTGTCTCAAAAAACAAGATGAAGGGGTTAGAGAGATGGCTTGGTGGTTAAGAGCACTGACTGCTCTTGCAGAGGACCTGGGTTCGATTCCCAGCACCCACATGGTGGCTATGAACTGTCTTTAACTCCAGTTCCAGGGGAATCTGAAGCCCTCTTCTCACCTCCAAGGCATTGCACAACATGGGTGCACTCACATACATGCAGACAATACATTCATAAACATAAAATAAAAATAAAAAAAATTTAAAAAGCAAGTTGAGAGCTCAGCATAGTAGCACATGCCTTTAATCCCAGCACTGGGGAGGCAGAGACAGGTGGATCTCTGTGAGATCGAGCAAGTTCCAGGCCAGCTGAGGCTATAGGGAAACCCTGTCTCAAAAACAAGATTGGAGTTGAAGTATCAATCATAGAACCAAGGTCAACTCTGCCTATTTGACAGAGGGAAAGTATTAGGAAGGCACATTATGGACTATGTAACACCAAATGAATGTTGTAGTTATTTCCTGATTTTTACAGCAACACTCAGAGTGAAGGAGTTGGAGGGACCCTTAGACTACCTCACTGGGTATGGTGATGCTTGCCTTTAATCCCAGCATTCAAGAGGCAGGGGCAGGTGAGTCTCTGAGTTTGAGGCCAGCCTGATCTACATACTGAGTTTCTGGCCAGCCAGGGCCATGTTGGTTGGTCTTGCAGAAGACCCAGGTTCGAATCCCAGCACCCACATGGCAGCTCAGAACTGTCCATAACTCCAGTTCCAGGGGATCCAACAGCCTCTTCTGTCCTCTGTGGGCATTGCATGACACAGGTGCGCTTACCTACATGCAGGCAATACATGTATACACATAAAAATAACAAATGAAAATATATTTTTTTAAAAAAAGAATTATTAGGCCAAGATTCTAGTCAGGCATTTTACTATCCTGTTTTGTTTGTTATATTTTATTGCTATCCTAGGAATCAAACCAGGCTTTATACATGTTAGGCAAGTGCTCTATCAACTGAGCCATAGCCCTGTATCTAACCCCATTTTTCAAGTTGGCCTCAAACTCGGTAATCCTCCTCTGTGTATCATCATTCCTAACAGCCTCTTTTGAGACACGGTCTCTTTGCAGCCCCAGCTGGCCTTGACCTTGAAGAGCTCCACCTGCCTCTGCCTCCCAAGTGCTGAGATTAAAGGCATGTACTATAAGAAACATTAGATATTAGTCTTTTCTTTCAAACCCAGTAAAACTTGGAACTTGATTTATGACAGGGAATTGTAATCTTTTAATCACAACACACCCTGTAAGACTTGTTTAAGGAAAGACCCTGATGCATTCCTGAGCCTGGGCTCTATGTACGAATTGTTTTTAAACTAGGCAACTGGTTAAGACTGTAAGGTCGGACCCAGCCAATGGGGAAAAGACACAGTTCTCTTTTGTTAGGGATAAAATTTTCCCCAAGCTTCTGGGTCCTGTGTGAACTTGCTGGATCTTACCATGTAAGGCACCCTTTTGCAAAAGTAAAATCTGCCTTGCTGAGTTACTTTTGCTTTGTCAGCATGCTCTTTGTGAGGTATTGATTGGGTCCTTGGACCTTGGCTTTTATTTCTAACAGTAACACCATGCCTGGCCTTTAAAAAAAAAGTTTATGCCAGATGTGGTGGTGCATGCCTTTAATGCCAGCACTTGGGAGGCAGAGGCAGGAGGATCTCTGTGAGTTCAAGGCCAGTCTGATCTACATAGGAAGTTCCAGACCAGCTGCAGCTACAGAGAGACCCTGACACACACAAAGCTACAGCCTCCAAACTCTACCAAGTCATTTTGAATCTTATATATAAAATATGTATATATATATATTTGTGTGTGCACTTGCTTGAGGTACCTTCAGAGGCCAGAAGAGGGTGTCAGGTCTCCTGGAGC